CATTTTTGTTGCTTCATTTTCAAAGATCATCATGATCTACCATGAAAAAGTCAAAGCACAACAGAAACTGAATGCAATGAAAATCCAATTGAGACACTCATTAAACTTCATAAGAAAGATTCAGTGTAGATTTTTATACCAAATGAAAAAGCACATTCAATCAAATGAGAATGCTTTGAATAATGCAATCTACTACTCATTAGAAGCACTTGATTCAACACTCATTCTCTTCAATTCATCACGAGCAGCTTAGTCCTAAAAATCATTTTTTAGTCTTTTCAACCTTCCCGCTCAAGATTACATCAATATACCCATAACTTGTGAATTTTACCACTACACAGCCGCATACCATGCACATGCCATTCATCACAATGTAACATCACATCATTACACAATCCGGGACATGATTGACATTGTTAAAATGTTTTAACCTACGCGTAATGTTACAATTTAAGTGATATAAGACTATTTGTTCAAAGCAATGAAATGTACCTTCAGTTAGCTTAATCAGATTTTATTTCTTAACACTACGTTCATACTTTCATTACAAGTTCCACAACCACCAACAAATGAAACAATTTCATACCGGTAACGCTACACTTTATCCTAAATCTCACCTAAGGATCTAACTGCACAAATTTCTTCTTATTTTTTTTGAAATAGTAATAAAGAACAACATCATAGTCCTGGCATTATGTTCTCCCTGTACTTTACACCTCTAGCAACGTAGGGAAATCCACCGTCCCAAACTTATATTCATACGTAACTTATCTTTTAAAAAATAAATTTCCCAGGCCTCGGATCCGTTTAACACTACCGTTACAGCCTCGTGTCCGCTTACCATAACATAAGCAACGAAGAGGAATTATACGAAACTTACCTTTTCCTCTTGTTGCTCGAGAGGCGCAGTCGAGAAAACGACAGAGCATCTTCTTTGTTCGGGTCTTCTTCCAGTGCCTCCGCTGCGTTGAAACACTCATTTAGCAGTTAAAATAATAAGAAACAATTAACTAATATAATCGTGGTAGATTACATTTTCTGCTCCTTATATATTCTTCCCATGTTAAGTGACTCTCCAAGGAGTAATTGTGTTTGAACATTACAGATTTTGATAACCTATATATTTGTACAATTATTTTTATGTTACCCACAATTAACATCGCAATTAATCAATGTATTTATAGTAATGTACTGTACAAAAATGCTTTAAGTGCTTGTGTTCGTACCTGTTCTCAGGTTTTGAACATTTCATGCTCTGTCATCCTCTGAATTTTCTGATAATTGTGAGCCAAATTAATGATCACCAACTATATGTGCTTCCAATATTTGAGGAACCTGACAATATTTAACAAAAGTACTCATTGAAAATAGAACGGGAAATTATGAATAATATATTTTACGTAATTGAAACAATTAAAGTATTGAGGGCTGATCAAAAATAACCTTAGACATGGCAGGTCTTTGTTCTGATAGGAGAAATGCATAAGCTGCCTGCATACGTCAAATTCAACTTTCTTCTAATGTAATAAAATTATCCAATTTGGGGTCCTTTCCATTCATCATTTCTTTTCTAGTAATTGTCGCCCCTGCACCATCCATATTCATATAATTAAATAGGCCTTAGTCTGAGGGGATTTGGTACCCAAATTCGCCTATAACTATGTGAGCTCCTATGCTGACTGATGGTCGACCTGCCCCCTCTTTGGATTGAAATTCCCCACCTGTTTATGACATTGATGAACAAATAATAAAATTTTCAATGAAAATCTTAAATAATCCAATGGTATACCAAAGGTATATACCTTTTAAGAAAATCCCACTTCCTCTTCAGCTTGTCTGCTTTTTCCCAAACATGGATTGTGATCTCTTTGTTCTACCATTCCATGCTCTATCTTCCCATGAATCTTCCATTACATTTTCTGACGTGAATCTAAACAAACTATATACGTGGTGATTATGTGAGGATCCTAATAAACGATCATGAATCAAACACGAAGAAAAATAAGTATTTTACATCCAAATATTTTTCAAATAGTATAAACTATTTACAACAATCAAACTTCCTTATTTATCTACAATTGAATTGAGTTGTTATAAGACATCCCAAATGGAGAAATTAAACATCTCCTTTTGTACTTTGCTCTTTATACTTCTCATTTAGCCTTCCTCTACAAAACATATTACAAATCCAGTTGGCAATAAAAGAAATATTTTCATTTTAATCATACAAAATTTGGATAAATATTGCAGTTTGTAAACATGATTCATACCAGTAGGTATTTAGAATCAGTCTCAGTTGAAGTATTTTCAGTAGTCCTTCTGGCTTCTCTGCTTCTTGTCTTCTTATTCTTTAATTTAAATACCATCATTTAATTCACTAACCTCTTACTTCTCCTTCTGCTTCTGTGCTTCTTCATCATACAACTGTCTTCTTGTGATTCAAATAAATAATAAGTACAAACAATTAATTTTTAAAAAACAAAAAGAGACATTTACCTAATATTTTATAAGTTCTTTTTTTTTATATTATGAACAACATAGAAGTATTGTTAAGAATTCGCCTAATGTTAATTAGATTTCAAAGGAGAAAAATTCGAAGATGCAATTACAACTATACAGTAAATAAATTTTTTGAAAGTGAAATTTCAATGTACACTGTACTTGGTTATTGAAACATCAACTCAATTACTAGATTTTATGTAAGATTAGTATTTATGCACTAAAGATAATTTAAGATGATAGTCATATATGATACAAAATCATTCTAAATTAATACACAATTTGAAGTTTTCAATGGCAATTAGTTTTTAAAAATTTTTCTATCATTCTGTTTTAATTATGTCTCAATCATCATTGATAAAAAAACAAAAACAAATATTTTTGAAAAAAAAATATTAACTAGCTACCTCGTCTTCTTTCATCATCGTCGTTGTCACATCATTTACATCATCACCACCACCACCCTGTCTTCTTGTGATTCAAAAAAAATATAATAACACAAACAATTATTTTTTTAAAACAAAAGAGACATTTACCCAAAATTTTCCTTTTTTTTTTTTTTTTATGAAAATCAACTCCATGATTCATACCATTTACGTTGTTGACTAATTGTTTCGTCTTCCCTCCTGCAAAACAAATCAGATTTTTAGATCTTAGTATTTGATTAAACTTATTAAAGTATTTGTGCAACTAAACATAATTTATATATTATGATACCAATTCATTTTCAAACATTAAAACACAATTTCAAGTTTTGATAGCAACTATATTTACATAGCCTAAAACATATTTTCTGATCAATGCTCAAAACATATTTCTTATCGATGCCTGTTTTCCCCTGAAATTTTCCAATAGCATCAATCATCCACTATAAAGAAAAATAATTATTTTGCATTTAATATTTCATTTCTTTAAAATAGTAAAAAATGTACAACTGTTTATTATGTATAACTAATCATTCACATACCTGTTCTATGAACATTGTTGCAACGTGGAGTGAAGGTTACCCACCATCTTTCTTCTTTACCAAGATAATCAATAATAACTTTGTTGAGTTTTGGTGTCATGTGTTCTCCATAACCAAAGATCTTATATTTGGACATTCACAATCAAAGAGACTCCAAAGCTGGGAAATCAATGATATGACCTGAGCTAAAACAGCAATGTTATCTAGACTCAAGGCGCAAAGACGACAACCTAGGAAATACAATCCTCGTATTGCTGGCTCCTCATTTGTATTATTTCATGTAGTGTTGAGCACCAACTATCACAAGGCTTCTAAGCTTCAACCAGTCTTTTGACTATGGACGGGTAAAAATTGTTTTTCAATTTAGAGCTACCTCTAATTTATAGAAGTCAAGTTTCCCAAACTTGGGGAGGTTGTGGTGTGATCTTTCCTCCATGGTACTATACCCTTTCATCATATTCCTTCTTCTCTTTCATCCCGAAGATGAAGATCTCCTCTAAATTCTTGCAATCAATATCTCTATTCTTCCAACTATAAGACTTCGCAATAACACTGAGAAAATAGTTTAATTAACTTTGGACATCTTTCACACTTATTCTATTCAAGTACAGAGGTTTATGTATTGAGTGTCACCTTCCATATTTCGTCATCTCTGGCGTTTTTCCCATGTAGATTCTTTAATGATGAGAGAGCTTTGTTTCTCCATTTTGCAACCTTAAGCCTTCACATTGAATATATATACCATGATTTACATTATCTATTGCAATTTTCCAATTTTGAAACCCTGTCACAATGTTGAACATGTTTGCCAACCTGTTGCACTTAACCCACTTAAGATTTTAGCTTATTGAAGGACTGGTTGAGTTCACCATGTATTTCAATCAAGTTGGCAAGGTTCCAGATTTTAGTTCCTCTAAGTTTTGAATGTTAAGTTCGATGCCCCTTCCAATGTATTTAGGAGATACATTACTCTGATCAATTGTTAAACCTTCAACTCATTGAACCTCTGTCTCATGAGTTCACGAAACATTTTTCCAAACCGATGATATATAGAAACTCGGTTTTTTCAATTATCAAGTTCTTAAGGCAATCAAGCAATCGTGAAATCATAACCTTACCACCTGAGATCATAATTTTCCTTGAGTATTTTTCGTAATCTCAAGAAATGGTCACATCAAAACTTTTGATCACCTATTATTATTGTAAAGTTCGATAACTTTTTGAACAGCATGTTATTACAGGTAAAAGACCCTGGTTTGGGATAAAATTTCCAACCTATTAGTCTAGACAAGCTATTGTAACTCAGCAAGCTTGGCATTGCTTCTCCAATCCCCCATCATCCTTCAAAATCCCAAGCATAGAACTTGGAAATGTCACTCCTCTAACTTACAAAGAGCTGATATAACACCATGTGCTATTCGCTTTAGCTTTAGACAGCTTCAAATCTAATAGCCTCAAATGAATTAATTGGCTAAAGAGAGAGTATCTCCCTAATATTAGACCCACAGACTAAGAATTTCTAGTTGCTTAGATGCCCGATATAGATAAGTCACCCAACTTGCAAGATTAAGATACAATGTTTTAAGATTTGCAAGCAAAGAAAGTGACTCGGGAGTGGCAATATTGAGTTTCACTCAAGTCTAGAACTCTAAGATCTTTCATGCCTTGAAAGAAATTGTTAGGGAGAACCAATTCATGATTCTCTTGCAATAGTAAAGACTGCAACTTTGGGCATTCAATCCCTTAGGTACAGCTTTAATATTATTTGACATCAATGAGATACATGTGAGACTTTCAAATGTATCTCTTTCAGGCCACTCTTCTAAAACAATGCCAGCTTTCACCAAGATATTGGTTGTACTTAGGTGCTATTATATGTGCAACATCACTACAACATCATGCATTTTAACATACTCTCTCACCATATCTTCATCATAGTCATTTTCTTCATAATCAGAGAAAGAAGAGATAAGGGACTTACAATAGCACTGTGCTCTGTCTCAACATGTTCCATTGTGTCAACATTTTTGAACCACCTCAACCCACTCCATATCTCACTAAAACTGTATTGAGATTTCTGAAATCCTCTGAAATACTACAAAAGAAGAAAATGATTTCGCATCTTCACTCTCAATATTTGATGCTCAACTCCAAGATGAAATCACACTTCCTTGCAACCCTCGGATGTCTGTTGGGGTAGACTTTTGAGTTGTCGTGCCACGTCAGTCCAGACATCTTGTTTTTTTTCTTCAAAGCTTTGCTATGGTAACAACTGCAATGGCAAACCACCACATTCAGCGCTATCTCTCTGGCAATTGGGTTTAAATCACTGTTGTCAACACATGCTCCATTTCTCCTTAAAAGGACCCAAGATCTTCTTTTGATAACGTTGCAACCATAAATATCGGTTTGGCATCCATTTCGTCATACATCTCTGCTTCGAGAGTGAGCACAATCTTGCAACCTCTATGGTCATTCCAAAGGAATTCCAATCTTATCAGCTCAATTCTTCTCCAAACAGTCTAATTTACAAGCATCTTCTTCCTTCTTATTCTTTCCCAAAGGGACTTGCTCTGCTTCTCGCTAGTCGGCAATTTTTAAACCCACCGCAGCAATTTCCCCTGAATTTCATATATTTACGTTTGAGACACACGTTGTCCACACAACAACCATACGCTATCTTCCTTGCTGTTTGCCGATTTCTGTCACTAAGTGGTCTACCCACACCGCCCATCCCACACACTCCAAGATACTGACGTTGTCATCTCCAAGGCCTCCAAGATTTGCTTCATAATTGATTTCTGGATTCGAAAGTCCAGAAAATACCTCAGACGAGAATAATTCCTGGAGGAGGAGCAGGACGAGATACTTCTTCTCAACTTTCCATCTTCTAGAGCTGGAAATCCCAACTCTTGTCTTCGCCTCCTTACTGACTCTGTACGCGATCTGGGATTAATACACCACCCGTTAGCACCTATTGTTGCATGACTTCATCTTCCAAAAACTTTGCAGCTTCTGCAGGATTTATCAACTTCTGCCACCAGTTCGCACATCAGTTTCAATAATTCAAGATTCCTTTCAGCACTTCAATTGTCCTGTACCCTGCTCTGATACCTGCAAGTTTTTAGCTTGCTTTTCAACGCCAATGTTGTGTTGTTAGTGAACAAGAACCGAGTGACGGCCTGCTGCGCCGAACAAGCTCGTAGCTCAGCATGCTCCGGTAATGCTCCCAACAACTGAAGAAGCATATTCCATGGTGTTTTAACAGAAATCAACAAGAGAAATGATAAAGAAAACACAAGGTTTCAGTGATTATCAAAGTATGATCAGCATGAACGACTCCCTTTATAAGTCGTCTTATATCGTGCACTCCTCTTCAAAAAGATAACATTTATTGTTTACTTTTGATAAAGTTGTCTGCACTTAAGGAAAAAGAAGAAAAGATGGTGCATGATTATACAACAGACCTGTTAATTATTTTCTTGGTCTAGAGTCTAGACGTAGAAAAGATGGGCGCATTATCAAGGCATAATCCCTAATAATCTAATAATTATTATTTTTAAATGAAAAGTGAATCTTCCTATTAATTTGTTGATAACACTTAATGGTTCTGATCTTTACACATTCCAATTTTATGACTCTGATTGAGCATTCTAGCACGGGTTCCTCTGAATTCCATTACAATATCTGATTTTTCCGATCTGAATTCAAATTTACCTTACTTTAAATAAAAACTTGGAAAATATACAGATTCCATATTAGATTACAGTGATATAATGCACTAAATCGGTTAATAATTACTCCAAATTTTCTAAGAAAAACTAAATACAAAATGTTATAACATAAAATTGGAGTGTCTTCACCATAGATGTTTATACAATTTTTGGGTAATTAGGATTTTGACCGGCTAAATTATAGCCATATGATGAGCAGCTATGTCTCCTTCCAATATTTTAAGTACCTGAAAAATATTCAACAAAACTCATTGAAAATTACATTCTAATTTTATGACTAATTATAATATTCAAGAATTATAAACATAATTCTATCAACCTTAATTTAATTCTTGATTCCTCAAAATCACCGCATGGATTATAAATTCTGAACTATTGTTTACATTTGTAAGGATGTCAAAAGTTGTCTGCCACTAAGAGAAAAAGAGAAAGATGGGTGCAGGTTAATAATGTCATTTAGTAACTAGTACCGAGGGCCAGCTAGCTATTTGTGTCTTTGAAAACAAGAAGGAGACATGAGAAGGAGCAGATGGGAGGTGGGGTTGGGGGATTGTTAATGCATGTGGATAGTAAGACTAAAGGGGTTTTGTTGAATTTATGAGACCAAATATCTTTGGATTCCAACTACCCCAATAAAAACACGAAGTTGGTAAAAGCTATAAGGCCTAAGGCTTCGATAAGAGATTAATGATTCCTCGTGATGTGTGTGTGTTCATCATATGCCATTAGATACATTTAGAAATTATATTTATAATAATCCAATAACACTGATGGTTCATCATATGTCAATTGGATTATTTTGCGAACTGACCAATGACGAGTTATTATTGAGATTGAAAGAGGTATGAATGACTATTATTTGAGATTGTGAAAAGTTGAATGACCTGACGTTATTAATGAGATTGTAAAAGAGGTTGTGGGGAATTGCTCTTCTAGAATTTGCCCAATAAACTTCATTTTTAACAATCTAGGTTGATGACAGTGTAAGCTTAAGCCTGTAATTTATTTTAGAGTTTATTGACCTTTAATGGAAGGGTCTAATAAATTGATATAAATTAGCTAGATCCCCTTTCAAAACACGATTTACACTGACACCATTTAGACAAATGTGTATGTATAAATCTAGATGTGTTTAAAATTATGCATCATTTATGGGTATTGTAATATCATAAACTAATATAACATCAATTGTGGCATTTTATTTCATAATTAATTACAAGATTTAGTAAATAAACTCATTTTCTTCAGGTTTATCTATAAGAATCTATAAAGTTGTTCTGAACTGGATCTGTGAATTATTTTCTTGGTCTAAAAGTAGAAAAGATGGACGCTTATCAAAAGCAATATTTTTTTAATCAATAAAAAGACAAAGTTGGTAAAGCTAAAGGCCTACCTAAGCCTTCTGATACCTTACGCCAATTTCCTCTTTTCACATTTCATCTACAACGGAATAGAGATTAATGATACCTCGTGATGTTGTGTTCATCTCATCAATGCTAATTCTTCTTCCTTACCGGGAGGGTAGGTTACAGCCCAAGATCATTTAGCTGGCAAGGTCCATAAATGTTATCGTTATGGATTCGTAGAAATTTTGGAAAATTATATCTACAAGTAATCCAATAACACTTGAATGATCCCAAATTTGATGACTCTGCAATTTACTCTGTTTGACCATTTCAATTTTCATGCTCTGTTTTCCCCTGAATTTCCATTACAATTATAGGATTTAACCTTAAAGAAGGCATCCCATTTTGTGAACATGGAGGTGAAGGATCCTTTTTGAATTACAGAAAACTGAGATTCCTCACAATTTTACCTGCAAATTTCTTCCAATAAATAGTTTCAACACTCAAAACTCTTAAATTTGTAAGGAATGTCAAAAAGTTGTCTGCCACTAAGAGAAAAAGAAGGAAAGAGGGTCATGGTTACTACTTGGATCTGTGTAGTGGTTAATAATCCGATATGGTAGCAAAAAGTATATGCTAATATAAACATACATGCTATTTCGGTGAAAATTTTAATGATCAAAATTCAACAGACAATATAAATGGAAATGTTATCACAAACCTCTTCAGCTTGTCTGCTTTTCTGAAAATCATTGATTCTTTGTGCTACACATTCTTGCTCTGTGTGTTCCCCTGAATTTCATAACAATTTTTTTGATATAAATCTAAACAAACTATGTTGTGATTATGGTAAGGATCCTATAGAATGATCATGCTTCTAAGACCAGAAGAAAGAAAATGTCTTATAGTACAGATGTTTACAACGCTCAAACTCTTTATCACTCTACAATTGAATTGAGTTCTTATAAAACATCCCAGCTCTTGAATAGCTTAAATTGGAAATTTGACAGATCCCATCCAGTATCTCAAACCCAACCAAAACAGTAACAGTCGCCAAAAAAAAACCCAAAAAGCATCCGCAATATATATATATAAAACCGCGTCTATACTAAGTCAAGAACAACTTTAGCTCAGCAAACATTAACAGATTGATAAAACACAAACAACAAAATGAACACAGCCTGCTGAACTTCGAGGGCTAACTCCTCAATTTACCTAAATCTAAGCTTCGAGGGCTAGCTGCTCCCATTTTCCCAATTTCCTCTCGATAAAACAGTTCTCTCTTTATCCTTTTCCTTAATTCTCATTCATTTTCACACAATAACCGAATTTCCCTTCCTGACCAACCAATATAATGCCATCTGTCCCAGCCCAATATACTCCTCAATACTTTCTACAATAAGAATCTTCCTATCACCTCCCTTTTATCTGCGTGCCACTCCCTTACCTTTTCTTCCATACACCTTCATCATTGTGTTTTTATCAAATTCAACACTAATTCCCCTTTGGCGCTTCTTCTACAAAGCATAAACAACTCCAATTAATCCTATATGAAATTACTTTTAAGGTTTAATTTACTAGAAA